AAAAAAAAAAAAAAAAAAAAAAAGAGGCTCCCACTGGTTAAAGATAGGACAATTTGAGATTCATTAACCATATTAATTGTAATGGATTAAAATCTAAATATATCTAAATTTATGAGTGCATAACAATCCTTCAGGTTTTGGGGGAACAAATTTACTATCTTGAAAACTGGTAAATACAATAAATTTTTTTCAATAAGAACACTGGTAAATAATTAAGCATTTATCCTGCCTTTCCTTATAAATTGTACTATTCGATAACAAAATAGCAGATGAGGAGAGTATTCTATGGAAGTGTCCTAGGTATTAAATAAAAGAGAAATTATTTAGAATATCACCACTTTGCAACCCCCAATGAATCATTGGATCTAGACATTAAATATCAATAATTCCCAAAATCACACACACAAAAAAACTCAATACAGACATCAAGTACCTCGTCATGCACACACCACCACCTACATACAGTCTTGCCAAAGAACCTGATTCTGATCTAGCCTCTGGATCCTCAGGAAAATCTGCAGGACACATAGAGAACAGAGTGACATGCTAAATTACACCATTAGTATACAATCAGCAGAATCCAAACTGTGGGAAATTCTACAAATCAAACAGTCCAGGATTCAATAGTTAAGTGGTAGGGATAAGAAAGAGATGAGAAGGGGGGACAAATTCAAAATGAAAGTAGAGAAGATTAAAGTATAGTGTCCAGAGATACACACTATGATGAAACTATGGATAACCATAAAAATCAAAATAATGGCCAGGCTGGTGTCACTCAGTGGTTGATCACTGACCCAGGAACCAAGAGGTCCAGGTTGGATTCCGGGTCAGGGAACATGCCAGGGTTTTGGGCTCCATCCCCAGTAGGGCATGTGCAGAAGGCAGCGAAGAGATGATGTTTCCCTCTTAATGATGTTTCTCTCTCTCTAGCCCTCTCCCTTCCTCTCTCTCTAAAAATCAATAAAAACATAAAAAAATCAAAATAATGGTTACTACTGAGGAGGGAGGCAGTTATGATTAGGATAGAGTACATGGAGAGTTGCTGGGGCAGCTGGCAAAGTTCTACTTCCTCACCAGGATGGTAGTTATAGCTGTATT